ATCTCGGCTCACTGCAACCTCTGCCTCCTGGGTTCAAGCGATTCTCCTGCCTCAGCCTCCAGAGTAGTTGGGATTGCAGGTGCCCACCACCACACCTGGCTTATTTTTGTATTTTTAGTAGAGACGGGGTTTCACCATGTTGGTCAGACTGATCTCGAGCTCCTGACCTCAGGTGATCCACCCACCTCGGCCTCCCAAAGTGCTGAGATTACAAGCGTGAGCTACCATGCCCAGCCAGGTTCTTACCTTTTTTTCCAAGCTTATTCCCTTTTGAACTCTTGTTAAGTTTCTTTGCATGGTCCCTGAGGTATAAATGTGACCATATTTTGTTTCTCTCTGTTAGTCTAAGGAGCCATTAAAATTGTTTAAGCAGGAGTTATATGATCCAATCAGCATTTTAGGGAGACCACTGTAGAGCCTGCAAGGGGAAGCACTTCCAAGGGCATGAGACTGGGAGCCAGGACACCAGCGAGAAGGCCACTGCAGTGATCCAGGCAGAAAGCAAAGAAGGGCAGGTTTAGGAGCCAGAACAGTGGAGTGTGTGCTCTGAGAAAGGCTCACACCCAGGATAAAGGACCACAGAAGAAGGACATCCAGACATCAGGGAGCCTGATAAGTTACACTTGAGCTGGATCCTAAAGGATCAATCTACTATAAGTGAAGGAAAGAGGAAAGAACATTTCAGGCAGAGGAAATAGTTTACACAAGACCTGGAATCAAAGGCTTGGGTTTTTGGGGGGTGGCAAATACTTTTCTGTGTAGTTTAGAGTGTAATGTGTTGGGGAAGAATGACAGAAGCAGGGCAGGAAAAGATTGAGGCCAGTGATGAGGTTTTTACGTGCCATGATAAAAAGAATGCTAAAGAATATAAGCAGGGCATGGTGGCTCACACCTGTGGCCCCAGCACTTTGGGAGGCCAAGACAAGAAGATTGCTTGAGCCCAGAAATTTGAGACCAGCCTGGACAACATAGCAAGATCTTGTCTCTACCAAAAAACAAAAATAAAAAAATTGGTCAGGCATGGTGGTACGCGCCTGTGGTCCCAGCTACAAGGGAGGCTGAGGTGGGAATATCACTTGAGCCCAGAAGGTCGAGATCACAGCAGTAAGCCGTGATCACATCACCGCACTCCAGCCTGGGCGGCAGAGAGAGACCTGACAAATTGTTTTTTAAAAAGGATATAAGCAGAGAATATAAGTGTCATAACTTTTTGAATGTCTCCTTTTATCACCTTTTGATTCCCAAAGGCTTAAAATGAATGTTAATTTTATAACATCTGTAATAATCATGCTGCCGTTGCCTTTGATCTTCTGAGCTCCCCTTTCTGACTTTCTCCCACAAATCTAAACCCTGCTTCTAGGGCAGTTGTCTGCTTGTGCACTTGGATCATTTTGCATCATGACATGGACACCTTTTTTTAAAACTGGCTTTATCTTTTGCTTTTTATTTCCTTTTGCTTTTGCCAACACTTTGAACAGCCTTGTTCTTAGTTTTCCCTACTTCTCCATTTTTAATTGTACGCTAACACAGTGTGCAGTACGGGTTTTAGAAAAGAGGTTAAGCTGTCACTATAGGAGTATTTGTGCACAGGATAGCTTTGAGGAAGCAGATCAAGAGCATAGCTATTACAATTTAAATACTGCAAGACATATACTTCTTTTAGTTTTGAGGTCATGACACACTTGTGAAGGTTTATGTTGCTTAGCTTTCCTCAGTTGTATATTTGCCTTAAAGCAGATTTTTCAGCTAATTTTTATAGGATTTTTTCCACCTATTAGGTAATCAAATCATGAGATTAATAGTTACTATTAAACAGTGCCAAAAAATCTAACTTAGTAGTGTAGTTTTATCAGTTTGTTTTGAGGGGAAATTACTTGGGTATTTGCAGGCATTGTTGTTGCTTTTTCCCAGGGATCATGTTGCTATTCTGGCATCTCTAAGGTTGTGATTCTGACCCTGAGCCTGTGAGATTAGCAGGAGACACCTCATGTTCACTGGTTTCTGTTCTTCAGCTTTCCTGACCCACTGAATGCCATGGTTTTAAAAGTGTTCCTGTCCTCCTTTGGATTGTCTTCCACACAAACAAAAGATGGCCCCCCACAACCCAGTGCCACATGGGATGTGGCCAAATCCTTGTTTGAAAATACTTTCAAGGGGATCTTATGAAATACTTTCCTTAGCTAGTAAGCATATCTAACTTTGAGCACCATAAGTTTCTGTGGGAGCACCCAAGATAAAGTCTTCTAAAATGCATTCTAGGTAATGATGAATTAGTTGACTTGTGATATGGGATTGTTACCTATAAGCCATTTAAATGTTAGAGGAGAATATCTTCTAAATGTGATCACACTGATCACAACAAATAGTTGCTGTTGGGTTATTCTGTCACTAAGTAACGTGGCCGTGTCATCTTCATATAAGTGAACACCTATATATCTGTTCTCTAACTTGAGGGTGGTAGAAGAATATGTATGCAGCTTATACAAGGTAGTATTACTTTGTTCAAGAACAATATTTAAAAGAAGGCGCCAGCACAAGAGACCTGCTCTACTCACTGGAAGTTATTTTCTGACCCGTCAGTGAATTGTCTAGTAATATTAGCCTTTGCAATCATTTCAAAGTGCAGAGTTTATTAAACAATTATCAAATACTACTATTAGGAGCCCTGTGTTGTGTTTACCCATAACTGTTACTCATTTTACAGAGTAAAAGGTGGAGAATAGGTCAATAAATCTGTACTCTCTGTTTCTTCTGACATATTTTTTACAATAATGAATGGGATTGACTATGGTCAGTAGGAGAATGGCCTAAAACTTTAGGAAAATATTGGCCCAAGGAGACCAAACTTGTAACTTATCAAGTAGAACCTTAGCCTCACTTTAGTTTTAATGTCAAAGTAACTCACTAATCTGTACTCAGTGAATTGGAGATAGTTGTTCTGTTTAAAATTGGGACACTGGAGAAAAACAAAGTATGTGTGGAAAAAATAAAACAGAATTTCTAGAAATGACATAATAAAAATAATAGTTAATATTTACTGAGTGCTTACTTTGTATTAGGCATTGTTCTAAACTCTTTACATATTCTGATGTATTAATTTTGGGCTCAAGTATCTTTATTTTTCTCTATATTCTTTCATCTGATTACATTTCTATGGTTTTAACTATTGGCCCTAAGCATAAAACAGATGTGAGGATGATCTTATTCTAAGTGCTGTGCATTGTATTCCAGCCCCAGGTTGTCTGGTACTTTCCTTTCTCATCTCCCACCTGGCTCGTGGCCTCTCCTGCATCAGTGGTGCCTGCTGTGGGCTTCCTGAGGCTGCACAGCATGCTTCTCACTGCTTGTCTGCCACATGCTTCTCTGGGGCTTCCTTTCTGTGTGCACCAGCAGCCTGCTGAGCTAAGGCACCTTCCCTTTCCTTGTTGCTCTTCTCTTTCTCCACTTTCCTCTTGGGCATACAGGGTCTTGCCCTGTCGCCCATGCTAGAGTACAGTGGCACCATCACGGCTCACTGCAGCCTCAACCTCCCAGGCTCAAGTGATCCTCCTACCTCAGCCCCATCCCCAACCCCCCACCAGTAACTGGGGCTACAGGCACACACCACCATGCCCTACTACTTTTTAATTTTTTTTCTAGAGACGGGTTCCCACTATGCTGCCCAAGCTGTTCTCGAGCTCCTGGGCTCACCAATCCTCCTGCCTCAGCCTCCCAAAGTGCTGAGATTACAGATGTGAGCTACACATTAAATCTTCGCAATAACCCTTTGATGTAGGTTTTGTCATTATCTCCATTTTTACGTGAGACCACTGAAACATACAGTTAATCCTTCTTGTGACCTGCCCAAGGTGTCACAGCCAATTCATTGGAACAGCTAGTTAAGCAGCAGATTACAGAATTAATGAACTGAAAAAAATTACACAGAATGTAAAATAGAAAGATAAAGAAAAAAATGAGGAAAGAGGGGGTATGAGGGCTAGAATGAGAGCATGCAAATATGGTGAGTAGTTATAGGATGAGAGAATGGGAGAAAGGCCCAGTGTGAAGAGATGATGACTGAGATTTTCCCACAATTAAAACTTGAATTTTGGGTTAAAGAATCACAGCAATTCTTCACAGGAGAAATAGAAACGAGTCAAACCTCTCTCCTTCAGGTGTCCCCCTGACCATTGCCCCAGCTCAGCCCTTTGCATCCTGCCCGGGTCCCTATGTTGACCTTCTCACTGGTGTCCTGGCCCCCAGTCTCATGTCCCTGGAAGTTGAGTCTCCTTGCAGACTCTGTGATGGCCTTCCTAAAATGCCGACTGCATCACATTACTTCTGCCCCAGACACTTCAGTGACTGTTTATTACTTGGAGGATAAAATGTAGGTCGCTAGGCATCACACACCAGGCTCCGTGATCTGACCCCTCTCTGCCTTACTGCCCCCTCTACTTCACCACCCCATTTCTTCCTGCTCCCTACCTACCCTGCTCCCAGTAACATTGGCAGTGCCACTTTCTCTCATATCTCCTTTCCCTCACACATGCTGTCTTCTTAGCCCAGAGTACCCTTTGACAGCCATTTTTCTTTGAGTAAATTCTGCCAGTTCTTCAAAACTTCAGTTCATAGGCCGTCTCCCAGGGAATCCTGCTTTCACTCCCTGTCCCCAGTCTGAGGAAGCGACTTATCTGTGGGTCCCCGGAGTTCTCTGTGAAAATCATCTTTGGTAGCCCTCACTCCTTACTGCCATGGAGCTCCCAGAGGGGAACCACATGTGCATCCCCAGCTCCTGGTTTAGTGACAGGCACACAGTAAGGGATACTCAGCAATGTTTGTTGAATGAATAAATGTATGGGTTGCATTCCACATTACCCCTCTCTCTCTCTGTAATATGAAAATCACTTGTAGGCCGGGCACGGTGGCTCACGCCTATAATTCCAGCACTTTGGGAGGCTGAGGCGGGCGGATTGCCTGAGGTCAGAAGTTCTATACCAGCCTGCCCAACATGGGGGAACCTCTTCTCTACTAAAAATACAAAAATTAGCCGGGCATGGTGGCAGGTGCCTGTAATCCCAGCTACTTGGGAAGCTGAGGCAGAAGAATCACTTGAACCCGGGAGGTGGAGGTTGCAGTGAGCCAAGATTACGCCACTGTGCTCCAGCCTAGATGACAAGAGCGAGACTTCGTCTCAAAAAAAAAAAGAAAGAAAGAAAGGCATTTGTTTGTTTGTCCTTATTTAAAATATTTGTAGACCAGTCAAGTGGTTCATGCCTGTAATCCCAGCACAGCACTTTGGGAGGCCTTCGCAGGTGGGAGGACCACTTGAAGCCAAGAGTTTTGAGACCAGCCTAGGCAGCATAGCAAGACCCCATCTCCACAAAAAAAATCAAAAAGTAGTTGGGCATGGTAGTGCACGTCTATAGTCCTTTTATTCAGGTGGCTGAGATGGGAGGATCACTTAAGCCCAGGAGTCTGAGGCTACAGTGAGCTATAATCACACCTCTACACTACAGCCTGGATGACAGAGTGAGACCCTGTCTCAAAAAGCAAAAACAAATAAACAAAACTATGATCATGGCCAATGGCCAACAAGAGATTTCCTGTTTCTTAAAAAAGTTATTCAGAATAATCCTCCCCTGAAACAATGAAGATGGGATAAAATATATATACAAAAATATATCTTTATAAAATATATTCATGTTTTCATATAACCTATAAGTATATATTTTAATATAATGTAAATATATACTAATAAAATATATTTTTATTCAGTCTTTGTGTGTGTGTGTGTGTGTGTGTGTGTGTGTGTGTGTGTGTGTGTGTATATATTTATATGGCCTTAAAAGCATTGAAGATCTGACAAGCTAGTAAGAAACTACCAAGCCAGAGAGGTAAATAAGCAGGAAGGAACTTTAGCCCTGAGGACACTGTCAATCCTGAAACACTGACACTGTCCTTGGACAGCCTCTGTGGAAGAAATGGAAAAGAGAATCCAGGAACTAAGCAAGCTGGGGAGTGCCAAGAGAGTGCGCCTCCAAAAGGCTGGTCCCTAACGGGCTGTGCTCTCAGAATGAAAATGAGTTGAATGGGAGAACCCTTGCGTGGAGTTATATCCTGGGCTGGAATTCCCTGGGTTGTCTAGGATCCTCAGAGACTTCACTTTGCATTAAGGTGGCCCCAGGCTGGTGTGGTGGTCGTGTCATCTGGCAGAAACAAGGAAGTTACTTGCATTCTGTTCCACAAATAGAGGAATTCCCACAAATAAATGTTTTAATGTAGTGACAAATACACAAAACCAGGCACACACAAAAAAAATGCAGTTAAGAAAATAATTTATGAAAAAGTTAAAAGTATTATAACTTTTATAATTTATTTTATTATAAAAATAAATATCATTTAAAGCAACCTTGATTGCCACTTGAAACTTAGGAAATTTTCAAAGATTTAGAGTGGGGCCGAATCACAAACTCAATGCTGCAACCCAAGCAGAAAAGGAAGGGGCTCAGGTCCTTTAGAGCAGGGAATTCCTTGGTCCTACATACCTCAAAGCATGATCTGAAATGGGTTATGGGCATATCCCAGTGGCTCTGCAAACTCCTGGCTGTGGAGAGGGTCACAATCCAAGAGCCGGAATGGCTCTAAAGGGAGGGCCCGGGGGTCCAGGCCTCCGACTCTTGCTCTTGTTAAAAGCTGATCTGGTCGCTGTGACGGTTTTCAGTTGAAGGTCACATGCCCTAGATAAACAGGCAGTTGCTAAACAGCTCAAGCCAGTTGTTCTAAGGAATAATGTGAGCCTGGTATTGCCTGGTCTTTTGATTCTTTAAGTGTAAAATATGTATTTTTATGTATATAAAAATATGTAACTGGACTACAGAGCAGCTAAGATAGATGGCTATACCTAATATATCAACACAGATATATTTCAGAAACAATGGTGTTTTTGAGAAAAGGCAAGATGCAGAAGATACCTAAAAAATAATACCATGTATTTAGAATTCATAAACATGAAATACAATATAATGCATGTATGTATTATACAGTATGTTGTTTATGGCTATAGTAACATAATAGAAGTATAAAAGCTTACATAGGAACATAAATACAAAATTTAGGATAGTAGTGACTTCTGACAAGAGAGAAGAAATAGGATATAGAACAGTACAAAATTATATGTACAATGTTTAATGCTTTATTTAAAAAATAAATTGATAATATGAAATGTTAAGATTTGTTAAACTGGGTAGTTAGTATATAGGTCTTTATTATACTTATTCTTTCTACTTTTCTATAATTTTGAAGGGGAAATATTGAAATGCTTTATGATAACACATAGTTAACCTAACAAAGCAAGAGTCAAACCCTGTGTGGACATCTGGTATCCGTGAGCCAATGTGGCCCTCAGAGCACCAGTTTGCAAGCTTTGATTTAGAAAGTCAAGCCATAACTGTTGAGTATCGGTAGCATTAGGCCCCATCACCATTGGTAACAGCACCAATTGGTATGACACGTTCTGAAAGTATACTGTCAAGAACTATAAAATTATTAATATTCATGGACCCACTAGGAAAATTTTTGAAATTTTAGCAGAGACAGGGTTTCACCATATTGGCCAGGCTGGTCTCGAACTCTTGACCTCATGATCCACCCACCTTGGCCTCCCAAAGTGCTGGGATTACAGGCGTGAGCCACCGCACCCAGAATTTTTTTTTACAGAAGCATTTCTTCTTTAAAAACTTTAATTTAATTATTTATTTCCCAAAGGTCTGCCCTCTAATCTACTAAAAACCTTTTATACATGAAGAATTTATGGTATTATCTATAATTTGAAAAAAATAGAAACAATTTTAAATGTCTGTCAATGAAGAATACTTGTAAATTACAGTGTACTAACTGTATAGAATGTTATAACATCATTAAAAATTATTTTGAAGACAATGTCAAAACTGGAAAATGCTTATAGGAGAATATGTAAAATATAAAATAGGAAATTTTTTATGTGGCAATATTACAACTATAAAAATACATGTATATTTGAACAAAGATTGGACAAGAATAGACAAAAACAAAAAGCAGATAAGTTGAAATTATGAGGAATTAAAAATTTTTAAATTTCTTTCTTTGTTTTACTCTGAATAGGATTGAAGAATGATATGTTTGAGAAGACCATTTGAGTCACTTTGGTTGTTTTATTTTTGAGATACTATACTAGAATACTTTTTGTTGTGGTTTTTATCTTATACTTAATTTTAAAATTTCAGCCATCAGAGATAGAAATGGAGACTCAGATACATCTCTATGGTCACACAGAAGAGATAACCAGCTTATTTGTTTGCAAACCATACAGTATACTGATAAGTGTGAGCAGAGACGGAACCTGCATCATATGGGATTTAAACAGGTACAGAAGAAGGTCTCCAAATCAAACACAGCATTTTTAATATATCCATTTTTGCTATATGAAATAAACCAAAATAATATCTTTACATTATAATCATTTTAACCATGAAACACATGCTTAAAGGTAGTAAGATTACCTTTATGTTTTATTGAAGTCAAACAATCAGGAAAACATGTATGCCTTATGTACAATAGGTACATAGACTGAGAAAAAGAATCACAAAATAAGAGAATGTAATTATATTTAATGATCATATACAAATTCATGTCTTTTGTCTTTCAGGTTATGCTATGTACAAACATAGACTGAGAAAAAGAATTAAAAATAAGAGAATGTAATTATATTTAATGATCATATACAAAGTCATGTCTTTTGCCTTTCAGGTTATGCTATGTACAAAGTCTGGCGGGACACAAAAGCCCTGTCACGGCTGTCTCTGCCAGTGAAACCTCAGGTGACATTGCTACTGTGTGTGATTCAGGTGAGCTTGCTCCAACCCAAAGCACAGGGCTGGCTGGTGCTCTAACAGCGCATTCAGCCAGTGGTTACCTCCTAGGTCAAGCCGTTCTCTCAGGTCCCTGCCAGATCTAAATACTTTGGTAATAGCATGTACATGTGTAGAAGTACAATATGGTCTGAGATTGAGTTCATCAATTTAGGCCTCAGCTTATGCAGAAGTTAGTACTGTCATAATTTAACTGTTTTCCTGATATATGTAAAATTACATTTGAGTACATGTTAAGCTAAGCAAATTATTGTTACATAATTTTTTGAGTGTTCTTGGTTTTGACTTTTCTCCCCTTTTTTGCTTCTGCTTTATAACTATTACCTTTGTTACCCTCCTCCTGTGAAAGAACAAAATTTTAACAAATTGAGTTGAAAAATTGAATTAGCTTTTATTAATGATTAATGAATCAGGCAGCATTTCATCTATGAAGTAGAAAGGTACCCCGGTGAGCTGAGCAGAGCGGGTAGGCTTTATAGGCAGAAAAAGCTGAAGAAAGCAGAAATAAGGAACAAAACTCAGATTGATCCTTCCACAGTTACCTTCCTTAGAGGATTAAAGCAGAAGGGACTTCCTTATCATACCAGCTCAACTCAGTGATCCCTTATCATCGATTGCAGTGAATCTCCTGTTTTTTGGAAAACTGGCCCATTTCCAAGTTCAGTTTGATTAGGTGTCACCTCGCACAAGTGACTACTCCATTCTGGTTTAATCTGGTATGTTAGGGCCTAGTGCAGGAGCTCAGTCCAAAACATTGGCCTACCATAAATTTTATTTAACACTTCTGACTAAATGAAAAGCCTCAGCAGATGCCCAGCTTGAATATATGTCTTCCAGTTTTGGAGAGAGAGCAGTAATATAGAACAGTAAATGGAAGTATAATTTGCCTTAAAAATTACATGACAAAAATATATCACCTAATGAAGAGTCTTTTGTTGTTGTTGTTTCATATATACATGTTAAGAAACCAATGCATCCAGCAGAAAAGAATAGTTGGAAAATTCATGAATTTTCTGTTTGCATTTCTGTTTTTAAGGGTCTTAAGATGCAAAGGATCCTTTGAAAAACTGCTTCTTTCTTCTGTCCATTCAGTGTTGGACATACCTATAGTGGGTAGTCCTCTATCCTTTGCTTGCATTTTTTACATTCTTTTCTTCTAACACAAAATGTATGGTGTTTTTCCAGACACCAACCAATTCTCTGACACCAACTGGGTGTCCAACTGTGTAGTTCAACTGTGACACTAAAAGTTTGCAAATTTGGAGGATGCCATGAGCCCCACCCTCAGGTTCAATAATTTGCTAGAATGACTCACAGAATTCAGTAAAACACTGTTTATACTTAACAACTATTATGGATTATAAATGATAGAAATGAACACCAGCTGAAGAGGTGCACAGGGCCAGGTCTGGAAGTGTCCTGAGGGCTGGATTGTCTGTCCTCCTGGAGCCAGGGTTGTGGAGTTAGGGTGCACCACTTTCTGGCACATAGTTGTTAGAAACAAGTGCTTGGTGCCATAAAGAAAAACTAGCACTTAGAAAATTTCTCAGGAAGGCACATTTACTTCTGCAGAAAGGTGCTGCCTGTGTCCGACCAATCGTAAGAGCACACCGAACAAAGGAGAGAAAGGTTTTTATCCCTAACGCAGCTCCTATTGCTATGTCCTCTCCTCATTGGCTGGAGTCGGACTGCACAATCTAAACTAACCCAGTTGGCTAAGACTTAAACTTTTCTAAATATGGTAAACATGCAGTTTGCCAGAGGAGGGGAGGAAGAGACTGTTGCTAAGGCAGAAAGGGTAGTTTACAGAACAAGTCTGGGCATGTCTGGGCGTGTAGAGGTTTGCTAGTTACAAATTAAGCAAGAATGGGGGCTGTGTACAGAGCAAGAAAGACCAAGGGAGCTTGGAACTTACTATTTCTGACACCTTTCCCCCTTTTGATTTTATAGTTCTTCCTCTTCAGATTTCTTAAATTTTTCTAACATCTCTTGGCTTTGTAGTTCCTTTTGGTTGTTTAAGAATAGGAACTTATTTGAGTAAGGTTAGGGAGAATAGAGAGAGGTTTTGGTAAGGGCTTTTTCTATAAGCCTTTGCCTTAATCCACGAATACAAGGTATGATGCAGCAACTTACAAGAATGAGTACACTGATAACAATTGCAAGGGGGATAAAGACTGATGCTATGAGTCCTTTCTATTTTCTAAACCATTTTTCTATGAATTTTAGGCTAATTTATGTGCTAGGGTGGTAAGGCCCTGTAAGGCTTTTGTGATTGTTCTATTGGGGACTGTGTTGTTAGGGATAAAAGTACAACATTGGACTCCAATCATGACACAGACCCCGCCCTTTTTGGCCAATATTATGTTAAGGGCTATTCTATTTTCCTAAGCCATCTGACTGGTAGGACCTAATTGTTCAGCTATTCCTTTAACGGCATCCCTAGTATAGTTAGCAAACTTCTGTTGATTACAATAAAGGTAATTTATCCAGTCTACATTTTTGTTTGCAGTTACCCATGAGAACAATATAGATTCAAATCCTGCAGCTGTTTGATTCCTGGCTTTAAATTCATTTAGCACCTCTTGTGGAACTTTGATGGCATTTGTATATATGTGAGGATCAAAAGACCTGAGGGGGGCACTTTTTTTTTTACAATTGTTCTTTCTATTTGGTTGATGAAATGTCAGGGTGAAAGGGATGGCTAATTGGATTACAGCGCAAGTGCCGCTCCACTTACTTGGCAGAGTACTTAACAGTGGTCCACTGCAGTACTACCATACATCCGATTGGGGATGAACAAGGGCAGATTGGCTGGTTAACTCTTGAAAAGGCTTAGATTCACTGCATCCTGTTAGGCTTCCAAGGAATTCCAAATTTTCCCCCTGTTGTGAGAGACACAAGGTAAAATTGACAGTGTTAATTGGAGGCCAAATAGCTCTCAAGGGCTGACCCATAGAGCCTTTAACTTCTGGGAATAGTAACAAGAGAGACTGGCAGGCCTTATTGCCCCAGGCTGTGGGGTCTTGGAAGAGAGCTACTATGCAGTTCATATTCTGTTGGTCAGAGAACCATCCAAGTGGAAAGCGGATGATTTGAGTCTCTAGTCTGCCTGTTGTACAAGCGTAACAATTGCTTTTATTTAAGGTGTGAATGGAATATTTAATCCATTTCAGCCAGGCATTTATATCTTGGTACCCAGTTTTTATGGCTAAAGTTTGTTTTAAATCCTTGACTTTTATTACAACTACCTTGATTTTGTCATTGGGCATGAAATGGGAGATGGTTTGATTGGATGGGCTTGGGGAAGGGGTAACAATAGAGGATAGAGGGGAAGAAACAAAGCGCTTTTCAAAGAAGCCTATAGAGTCCTTTCTAACGACATTTTCTCCTAGACCATAGAAGCGCCTAAGGTGGGGTTAGAGTTACTAGAGGTAGGGATAGTAATAGAGACAAGTAGCGGGTTGCACTGGTGGGTTTGATAGTTGTGGGCGGTGGGGGTGACTCCTTTGGTGAAATGGAGGTAAGGCTTTAGGGTGGCGCAATCATCTGAGGATGTCTACCTTGATTTTTGGTGATCTAAACAACAATGCCCATTGAGAATGTAAACTGGGGAGAGAGTGCTGATCCCCCCACCATAGGCAGGATAAGGGGGCAGTAGCGGCTTCCCTGGAGGGGCAGAGGTATTTTTCTGATGCTATTTCTCTTTGGCATTGAAGGTTCCTGCAGGGTGTAACAAAACAAGCATTAAAAGTCATAGTTTGGGGTGAGCTTGACTTAGTTACATTAATAGTAAAATGGGGGGAGGTGGTTAACGGAAAGAGAAGAGAAAAAAAAAAAGAGACAGACTGATTAGACTTTTCTTTTTAACATGACTTTGGTGGGAGTTGGCCCTGGGACAACAGTCCATGGCTTTGAAGAGGGCAATGCTTTCTTGACTTGGGTTTAATGGGTCTACCCTTTTTCAGCAGTTGGGATTACTGTTTCAGTTGTTAAGAGCAGCAGGTAAGGTCCTTCCCAGATGGGCTCGAGCTTTCCCTCTTTGCAGCTTCTGATAAGGATGTGATCTCTGGGTTGGTGTCGGTGAACTGGGAATTTGAGGGGTGGAGTTTGTGCTAGGAGGCTTTGAGTCTTCAGGGAGTAAAGGGTGAAAGACAGACTAAATACATAGTTTCTAAGAAACTGATCCTTTGTCTCAAATGTTGGGAGGTCAGTAGTGGAATTTAAATAAGGCAACCTATAAAACATTTTATAAGGGGATAAGCCAATATCTTTCTAATGAGCAGTTCAGACTCTTAACAGGGTAGTGGGAAGACATTTAGTCCATGGTAACCGAGTTTCTAGAATTAATTTGGTTTGGTGTTTTTTTTTTTTTAAATTAAGTTTAGAAAAGTTTCTTTAGTGATAAAAATAATCAAATCCCTTTTCACAATGGAAAGTTCTACATGATCTTAAGAACTAAAATATCATGATTTGAAAAACAATATGGAAAGTTATTTGCAGTACAAACTCTATCACATTTACTTAAAAAGCAGCCGAAGTTGCTTTTTTCTAGGTATACAGGCAACATTCCACACCATTCAATACTACCTCCCTTTTGTGAAACACTTTCTTCTGGTGGCTTTCAGAATACTAGTCTGATTTTTCTTCTGGGTCACTAGTGGGTCCTTCTCAGTCTTTTGCTGGTTCTTCTTCTTTTTGTCTACTTCTTAATGATGGCATATCTTAGGTCTCTGTCTTTCGCTGCCTTCTCTTCTCTAGCTGTACTGGGTGATCTTATCCAAAGTCATGCTTATTCCCTAATGACTCCCAGATTTATTTTTCCAGTTCCAAATTGTACCCTGAAATCCAGAGTTGGATATCTAAATTGTCTACACAGCATTTCCAACCTAACATAGCCAAAACAAAACTCGATTCTACATTCCTCCAAGCCTGTTGCTTCTCCAGTACGCCTCATCTCTGAATTTCAGAATTCACCC